AGTCAGGATAAGCCGAGGGCTTCTCGGGGTCCTGGAAGATACTATATTCACAAACCTGCGTGCAACCCGGTGCTGATGAGAATTGCTGGGAACATCCCGAAGCTCTGATAATGAGTTGCTGATCTTGCACTTGCTGAGTCCAGACCAAGGCAGTCAGTCACCAGGGTCTCCTCTGGGACACAGGAGCAGCCCTGCAGGCTTGGGCCAGTGTGGAGGGCACATGGGATTCTGGGGGAGACACATGGACCCCAAGAAAAAGAATAGTCTCCAGTAGTGCCGGTAAACGCAAATCCTCAAATCCAAGCTCTCTAAGCAATGTCCTCCATTCAGTGTTGGCCCACATAACATAAATTATTCCAGGGCTGTGGTTTTTAATGGAGAGGTGGGTTCCAGGTGCTTAGAAATAAGCCCTTGAGACGTCGGCACAAATGTAGTGAGGGTTGGAGAGGGTTCCCAGAAATACTCTATAGCTCCCAAATTCAGTTGAGAGGAGCTGCCTCAGAACTGCCTGACCAACGTTTAATGGCACTTTCCAGCCCCAGCCCTGGAGTGGGGGTGGGTAGGCCTTGGATATCAGCAAGTTCACAGAGCTCCCCCTGACCTCAGCAGACCTCAGTGACACGTGGTATTTTCATCCCCAGCACCCTGAAGGGCATGATGTTGCCACGGCACGTGGGAACTTTGGCACTAGGACCCAGCAGTCCACCGCGGCTTCCTGGGAAGTTGAGCTGGGAGGGAAGGACGTCCAGAGTCGGCCCCACCTCCCATCTGTCCTCCCACACAGAGACACCCCACATGACCCCCTGAGGCTAGGAGGACCCTGTGGTGGAGAGTCACTTCGGCCTGCAGCACCCTGGGGTCACTAAAAGCCCCGCAAGCTGCAGTAATTGACCCACTGCGCTGCTTCTGTGTGTGCCTGCTTTCCAGGAAGAAGAAGGATGCCATCGTGGTAGACCCTTCCAGCAACATGTACTACCGCTGGCTGACTGTCATTGCACTGCCCATCTTCTATAACTGGTGTCTGCTCGTGTGCAGGTAGTGGGGAGGGACGAGGGCTCGGGTCCCCAGGGACAGAGTTCCCACTCTTCCTCAAGAGGGCTGGTCCCCTCACAGCCATGCTTTAGCTGTTGTACCTCAGTTTCTCCATCTATAACCACAAGATGTTCTCAAAGAGGCCCACCAGGGTGCTCTGGAGCACTGGTACAGAACAGAGCTTGAGATGAGCAGCGAGGGTTCTGGTATGTTAGGGCCTCCTTGAGCAAGTTATAGGATGAGGACTCAGAGCTTGCTGCCAGGCAGAGATGCAGGTGAGCTGGTGCAGCTCTGTGGGTAGGCAGAGACTTCAGGGTATTTCTGAGCAAGTCTGCAGGACATAAATGTCCAGCGCAGAGGAGTAAGCTTGCTCCTTCAGAGTAAGCAAGAGGTTTGAAGGTCCTTCCTGCCAGGCCTGCAGGACAAGGATCCAGGATAGGCTGTGGCTCTTCTCAGGGTGGGCTGGAGGACTTGGGAGTCTTCCTAAGCAGACCTGCAGGACACGTGTGCAAAGCCAGGTCACTGCACTTTGGAAAGTAAGCAGGGGCTTTGGGGCTCTCCTGAGCCAGCTCAAAAAATGAGGAGGCAAAGAGGAGTCCTACCCTTCTGAGAGAAGACAGTGGGCTTCGGTATGTCACTGAGCTAAGCTGTGAGACAGAGAGCCACTGCACTGTGAGGCTGGGCAGTGAGTTAAGCGGTATTCCTGATCACGCCACATGACAGGGATGCAGAGGAGACCTGATGCCACCTAAGCGTGAGCAGAGGCTTTTGGGATTATCCAAGCAAAGGGTGATCTCCTGCTCTTCCGAGGGTTGCAAGGAAGGGGAAGAACTGAGGGCCTGCTGTAGCAAGCAGGGAGAATGAAGCACGCCAGGGAGCTGCTGCTCTCTGGAGGGAGGCAGGGGACTCCCTGGCATTGGTGAGCAGACCGCAGGGAGGGCTGCTGCTCTTTTGAGGCCAGTAGGGGAGTTTGGGGGTCCTGCCTGTGTGAACTTAAAGACAGAGAAGGTTGAACATAGGTGCAGGCCTGTTTGATTATTAATCTCTCAGAAATTCTCCTATTTTTGTTGGAATGTGACCCTAGAAAGGGCAAGTCCTTAGCCCCTTATCTGATTTCTCCTGAAAGCCTAGAAAACTGTACCTCCTGGGGTTTCATAGCTCACTGCGGAAAGGAACAGGGATGCTCTTTGGGGTCAATCCCAGTTCTTCTTTTCAGGAGCTCTGTGACCACAAGACAGAAGAGCTCCCTTGGGCCTGAACCTCCTTGCTAGAAGCTGGGGTGATTGTGCTGGGGTATTCACACCCGAGGTAGGGCTGCTCTGGATGAAATGATCCAGTGTTTGCGGCACAGAGCCAGTGCCCACCCATGGGCAGCCCAAGCTCCAGACACAGCACACAAGCATCCCTCTCGCACTTGTCTTGTTTAGGGCCTGTTTTGATGAGCTTCAGTCTGAGCATCTGATGCTGTGGGTGGCCCTGGACTACTCAGCAGATGTCCTCTATGGCTTGGATGTGCTGGTGCGAGCCCGGACAGGTGAGTATGCCCCAAGTCCAGGGACTCCTCTGGGCCTGGTCACAGGCCCTCAGGAGGAGGACTGTGGGGGCCACAGAAGTGCTCAGGAAGATCCATAATCATAGGTTGGACATCACCTTACCTGGGGCCATGAGAGGCCAGCAGATCTGGGGACTTCCAACCAGAAGGGGTGGTGGTGCTGGTGCTACCTCAAGCCTTCCACACCACACCTTGGGCAGAAACAGGGCTCTGGGCTCTGCTCCCCCAATGACCTTGAGCAAGTCAAGCTGTCTCTCTAGGCCCTGTTTATATCACCTGTGAAATAAGAAGGCCAAACTGTAATTTCAAAGGACCTCTCTGGCTCTGACTACTCAACATCCAAGGGTGTGGGAGGGAGAACTTGGGCTGTCCTGGAGTTTCTCTTCCAGATGTTCAGAGAATCCTGGATATGTTACTCTGTGACTTTCAGAGGAGGTTTAATATGTGGAAAACTGAAGTCTGAAGCTGGGCCTAGGCAGGTTATGACTTCCTTCAAACTGCTCTGGTTGGCTCCAAGCAGTGTGCCCTTGGGGCACCTTTTTCTAATTTTCACCAGGACAGACCCTGCTCATCTCTTCCAATTTTTTTTGGGGGGGGGGGACAGAGTCTCACTATGTCCCCCTTGGTAGAGTGCTGTGGTGTCACAGCTCACTGCAACCTCAAACTCTTGGGCTTAAGCAATTCTCTTGCCTCAGCCTCCCAAGTAGCTGCGACTATAGGTGCCCACCACAACACCTGGCTAACTTCCACAATTTTTTAGCTTAAAGCCATGCTATAGTTGTCAATGGAAACACCTCCAGGTCCCAGCAACCAACCTTGTTGTGGCTTCGTGTACAAAACATTTCAAGCACATCTTGCTTTCCCATTAGCACTGCGGCTTGAGATAGGAAGCACAGAAATATCTTTAACTCCATCTTGCTGATTTATAAATGGAGGCCAGAGATGCCAAGTGACTGAACCAAAGTCCACAGCCACTACCTGGCCATGCCAGATGGGCACCCCGCTACTTCCACACTGGTGCCCAGCATCGTAACTTAGAAAACCTCAAACGCATGGCTTGAGGTTTGCCTAGGTGACCCAGCCACCCTGGCACCCATGCCATATTCACGTTATCCTGTAGATACAAGCGCTCCAGGAGTGGCCTATTAGGCCAACTATCCCTGGTTCCAGCCAAGCTTCAGCGGACCAAGACGCCCTCATGTAGACATCAACCCCACCCCTCCTCGTGCTTGGGTTGTCTATGCTTGTCAACCTAAGACTCAGCAGGAAGCTGGGGGAGAAGGAGGCACAGAATACAGCATGGGGCTGGGAGTCACAGATACAGCATGGAAAAAAATCATCAGAATTGAGAGAAGACATCTTAAAGAAGCAACGAGGAGGCTCTGGGCACAAAGAGGGCTA